GAACCAGGCTGGTTTTTTCATCTCCTGCAGGATTATACTGCTGTTAGTTTTATGTTCAGGATTTATGTTTCCTTCATGTCAATAAATGCTGGTGGTGCTCAAGAAGGACCTCTGGGATTAAATTGTTTTAATAGTTCGAGGAGAGGCATCTTGGGCAAAACCAATTTAAAATGCTGAGAAATGTGACACATTGAAATTACCAAATCTTTAATGCCTGATTTGTGATAGATGTGACTGTTAAACAGAGAGAATTTAACATTTCTGATGTTACATTTTAGAGGATGTCTGCAGTCAATGATGAAGCTTTGCTGTAAAAATAACTGCAGGTGGCAGGATTTATTTGTGGTGTCCAGCCAGCGGCTCAAATGCATTTGTTTAATATTCACATTGTTGCAGGAAGCAATCTTCAGAGTGCATGTGTCTGATCCTGCTGTAATCCTTTGTAATTTCTCTTTTGCTTGAATGGTTACAGGGGTCTGATGAGACCATTCGGGTTGTGTCCATGGACAAGGATTACCACGTGGAATGTTATCACTGCGAGGTAGGTCAGCAGCTTTCTCAGGGAATGGGCACTTAATAGTCATAACTACTATTATTTTTAAGATGGAAATAAATCTCCGCCCTTCCAATGGCAGTAGATGAGCAATTCAAACCTTGCATTGTGCAACCCTTTCTGTCAGTGGCTGAGAAATTCCCAGTTCGACAACAAAAGTTTTTTCAGCAATTATTTCATTTGCTATCCGTAAAATTATGGGCAAAGAGTTAATTATCACTTTTAAACTTGGCAGTTTATTTCTTAATGAAGGAAATGTGGTGACTTAGTAAAGTTCTGTTGCTGCCTCTCAGAAGCCTTGAGCTCCGGATCACATTAGTGTGTCTGATTTCCAAGGCAGATTGTTTAAAAATGCTAAGGTGATGACTGATCCTGTCTAGTGTAAGTTACCTTCACTCTCATGGGAAATGAATGTGTCATTGGGGCTGGAGAAAGGATGTGGCTGCACAAAAATATCCCAAGAGATGCCAGCTCTTAAACACCATTTGGTCTCCATGCAGGACTTCCCAGAGAGCCTTCATGCTTCTGCTCTGTGAATTAAAATAAATAGATGTCTTCTCTCATTGTGCTCATATGCAGTGGAGAGAGGCCCTGACTCAGCAGGCAGGCTTCACATCAGTACAACTGCAATTAATGTAATGTGAAGAGGTGAATCCTACCTGAGAATGTAAGGAGACACGAGCATGTTTAAAATACATAGGGTTGCACCTCACCACGAGATAAGGCTTATTCAATAAAAATGCACAAGACAAATTTGTACAAGGCTGCCCCTCAAAGTGCCTATGTCAGGTGCTTTCCTTCTCATGGCAAATGCTGGACTTACAAGGAAGGAGCTGCTGGCTGGGTGGCTTCTGTCCTTGTCACAAAGTCACCCTCCTGGAAGCCAGACCCGGCTTGATGCTGGAAGGTGAACACACGCTCTAATAATTTGCACGGCCTCTCTTTGCAGGACTGTGGGATGGAACTGAACGATGAAGACGGGCATCGCTGTTACCCGCTAGATGAACATTTGCTTTGTCACTCCTGTCATCTGAAACACATAGAGAATGGCACCAGCCCAGCAGCTGTCTACCAGCACCACTACTAGCCAGCATGGCCGACATGGGAAGGTCTGGACAGAAGACTTGTTACGTGATCTCCCTCTCCCCACCCTCAGTTGATTTCCTGTGCATATTTTTCACCAGTCAACAATGTTTCTGTAAAAGGATATGAGAGAATTTTGCTGGATTCCCAGAGTCTGTGTGTTTGTGAGTTCCAGCTGTATCAAACCACGTCTACTTGACCAAGAATGTGGCATGTTATCTAAACTGGTTTACTTTTACGTGCCTTTTTCTGCTGTCTGGAGATTCTTCTTGGCTCATTTTGGAAGATTCTTCAGTGAAAGCACAACTTGCTGTCGGGCCTGTGAACTCAGATCGTGCCATGCACAGTTACAAAGTCAGGGGCTGGCTTGCCTGCCTCCCTACTAGGGATGTCCCGTCTACTAAGAGTTTCCTGACAAGCACACTTCATCAGATTCCCTGAAGGACATCAACCTATTAATACCAGTTTTTAGACACTGTCTTTCTTTTTGTTAATTCTTTAGGAAAAGAAAAGAAAGATGTCTGTGCAAAATGGCATGCTCAAACCTTCCAGTTAATTCCCCGAACTCCGGTATCAAGTCTGGCTGTAAGAATACCAACTCTCCAAGCACAAACAAGGCGTGCTGGCTGGCAGCTGGAGGCTGACATCCCATTTCAAACAGAACAAAAAACTGGAACAAGCTGGGCTAAACTACCCTGTTGACTTGGGGCCTGGGCTTGCGTGTCAGCGTGATACGCTGTGGCCAGTCTGCTGTGTCAGAGTCTGAATAGCGGATTGTATTTGGAAAGGAAAGGTCGGGATGCTGAAAGTGTGGACACGGGGAAATCCAGCCTCGTTCTTGCTTGCAGGGCTCGCTTTGGAAAAAGCTCTCCGTACACAGGCGCTGGCCTGAGTTTTCCAGCTTGTCCCCAGTGCTCAGCCTCCAGCCTGGCCGCTCCTTTCTGTGGTGTTTACCCAGCACAAAGCCATTTCATAATGGTGCTTATTTAGAGCTCTGGGAACAAATTCGAGATCGTTATGAAGGCTTTGTTACGCAGGGATTTAGAGCCCAGCCTCACAACCTGTACTCAAATGAGTATGTTGGTATAAACAGATTTGCTCCCATGAATAACAACAGCTTATCTGAGCAAGGGGTAAGTGAGTTTGGCCCTTGCTTTCTGTTCTGCTGAGAAAGCAGAAAGGCAGATCATTTCTCTTTTTGAACCCCCCTGCTTTATAGTCAAAGAAATCTGCTCCCCCAGTATGTGTTACGTGTAAGAGAGATGTGCCTGCAGTGCATGTTCTGTAGGTACCAAAGCTGTGCAACCCCTCGTGTACAGGTACAAAGTTTTTGTTTAAGAAAAAGCTTTTAATTTAAAGTCTCGGATGCAATCAGGGATTTTAGCTACCCTTTCCAGCATGTTGTATGGAAAACTAGTTAAATCCTAATGTATCCATGCTAAAGAGGTAAATTCAGTTCTATTAGATAGGGGACAGAATGACATTCTTGAAGTTCTTTTTAGTGAGGAAACTACAATAAATTAGCTGAGTAGTGGCACGGACATGAGCCTGTGCCGAGAACCTGCTATGGTTCACCCACACCTCTTTTCCCATGCTAATAAATACCACGGGCCTCCGTTTTAAGTGGTGCAAGTTGCTGTGCTAAGTATTAAACAAAGGCACAAGCATCAGCTGTAAAACAGATGGAGACCAGTGGCCTGTTAGCACCCTCCTTCACGTCTGTATCGGCTTGCCTTGTCTGAAATGTGAACGTCTGAAGCTGCCCAAGCCATGGGAGCTCGGTGATTTTGGCATGGAGTTTCATCGGGCCAGCAGACCATCCAGCCTTCTGCCCCATCCAGCTGTAAGCGCCTCTGCCTGTTGCTGCTGCTCTTGGGCATGGGGACGGCGGCACATCCAGAGCCCCAGCTTTGGTGTAGCTTGGCTCTGCGGCGCCGTTTCTTCTGGAGACATGCAACCCTTCAAGCGAGTGACCGAAAGCTCAAGCGGGGAGGCTTTCCCACTGCAATATACATGGCTCTGGGGCATATGTATCTTCAGAGAGTTTTACCTGTGATTTTAGAGGAGGTAAAATTGACCCCAAATATATGAGCTCCCTGGAGCCTTCAATTTGGCCTCCAGATGCTGGATGATGAAGGGATGGGAACCAACACAAAACATAACTGGTGCTGTATCCGGGTGATATGGGTTGGGGTCAGCAGAACACCCAGGGCAGATCCTGCAGTGCTCTCACCCCGGCGTGCCCTGTCAGCTTGTGTCCTGCAGCGCAGCTGGGCCCGGGGGAGAAGTCTTGAGATGCAGCTGTGATCTTAGGAGTGTCTGAAGGGACTGAGGTGGGAAATAATGCCAGCTGAGTGTCCCTGGTAAATAATTCAGATAGTCCTGGGCAGGTGGTTCCCCTCCCTGAGCTTCCTTTGGAAGTGAAGGCAGTGAGATATCCAAGTGGCTTCTGGAAGTGAGCTGGGAACGCCAGCCCTGGTCTGTTGTTCTGTCTCTGAGAGACTGGCTACTACATGGTGCATGCTTTTGGTAGCTCTTGATATTTAGAGCAGCGCCTCATGCACATTTTCCAGCCTTCATTTTGGGAAGATCTGAAAACACTAGCGGGGCTGCTATTTCCTTTTTAAGATAAATTTTTAGCTACTCACTACTTTTTAGTCTCACTCTTGCAGCCTTCCCCACAACCCCAAAATCAACAGGCAAGAAGGGGAAGGGGAGAAGGACGATTTTCTTTCATGGGAAGCCTCAAGCAGCCCATTTGCAGCCAGCTGTCTTGCAGGATGCCTCTTTTGCATCAATGGAAAGTTTGGCCCCTGCTCCCACATGGTGTCTTGTTACTCCTGTCAGCCATCCCGTATCCCTCAGCACTGGGGATGTGAAGGCTGCCCTACTTTCAGTTTTGAGGTCCTGTATAAATTATTAAGTGCCAATGCTCTCCTTTATTCATGGAGAGCTAGAAATGACAATGTGAAGCTGTTGAGAATGAAGCGTGCGAGTTTGTGGTTTTGAAGCTAAAGCGTCTGCTGCATTGCCCTGCTCCCCTATGTGCGCTAACTTGCACCGCTTTTATCTTTGGGAGTTTGAATTCATTTAAGCTCATTATTATTTCTCCTAGGCTGTGGGTGTCTGAGTCCCTGTTGATTGTCCCCAGCTTGTCCCCGACTCTGCGGCTGCCTGACGGTGGGTCCGGGATGGGGAAGACGAGGGCATCTTGCACAGGGGAGGCTTTTTCTCCTCCTGACCGCTCCCCCGCCCCCGCCAGGCATCTGTGGAGCTGGAAGCCCTCACTGCCTACCTTCAGGCAGCTCCCCCAAAGGGAAAAGCCATCAGGCAGGTAGCTCTGGAGCTGGAGGGGCGAGTTTTGCACGCTCTGCAGAAGAATTTCCAAAAAAGTGTTAGATTCTGCCCATCACCTGGCTGATACGCATTGGGTTTTGCTGTTCACATGAACCTTGTTGTCTTTTTATTTATTAAGATGCTGAAAGGCACTATGAAAAGTTAGTCCTAATTCCTCCCCCAGCGTGCTCTTCGGACGGGTTTTAGGGTAAGGGACCCTTGGAAGTCCCATTGTGCTGGTAATGAGTAACTCACATGCAAATAGTTATTTAAGTGAATTCCTTGAAACTTGCTTTCAGGAGCCAGAGCTTAATAGATTTTTTTTTTTCATTCAGATCATGCTGTTAAATTTCTGTTGTTTAGAATATGGAAACCATTTAAATAGGGATCTTTGCATAAAATCCTGGAGGGAAAGCCCCAGCTATAGAAGCAGCAGACATTTTTGTGTAATTTAAAGTGTGAGAAACACCTGTGATCAAAGTGATTTAGGAAACTGCTCTGATGTAAAACACAAGGAACGGCATTTTCAAACACCCTGGTGATGACCATTTTAGGTCTGTGGCTTTTCAGTTTCTGAGTTTCATTTGGGGGCTTTTAAAATGTTTTCTCAGGCTTTCAGAGTTTAAATGGTATTTTTTTTTGGTAGATTTTTGCTACAAAGTGAATAGCTCCTTGATCTGGAAATGGTGGAGTCTCATCGGCATCAGGTTTGCTATGGCAGATGTGAAAAAGGTGAAACTGGGCTCCTAAGAGCCGGTACAGGTCTGGCTGGCCATTTGAAAGGAAGGGATACCTTTGGCTTCCAAGAGAAGAAAGTAAATGTTTTCCTGTGCTTTCTCCTTCTGCTGATTTTTAGCACTGGGCAAAAATTTGGCATCCCTGAATTTCAGCATTCAGGTCTGTTGATAAGCGCTGCTGCAATCTCCTCCTCTCTCTCAGCCCTGGGGATAATCGCAGGCGCATGCTTCCTAATGAATTTAGTCCCTATTTTGCCCTTCCCTGGAAATTTTACCACTTTATTATTTCAGCAACAGCAAAACTGGGTACTTGTTTAAGGGAAAATGGACACACGCTCCCCATCCTTACTGGAACACTTTGACCTGATCCTCCAAATTACCTGAATATCAGCCTGCTGCTGGTCGATGCAGCAGCAGCTTTGTACTCTGCTGCTGTTGCTGTGAAAATCACGTGGAGGACTCCATCTGCATTAAACTTGAAGTGCACAGGCAGGCAGTCCCACTGAAACCAGTAAGGCTGCGCACGTACGTGAAAATCAATGTGTGTGCGTAGGTCAGTGTTGGATCAAGGGCAGAGTGATTTTATTACAGGCGAGACGTACCCGAGGATGAATCTGTGGCAGTGTAAAAGTTGCCTTGAAACGATTGCTGAAATGGACTGCCAACTTTTTTGTTCAATAAACAAAAATATGTGCTGAAGCAGTGGGGGTGTGTGGAGAAAGAAGGGTGTTACTTAAAAAATACAGTAGCTGTAGGGAGAAGAGGGCAGGTGATTACAGAGAGCAGGGGAGAAGGTGGCGTGGAGGGGATTCACTTTTGGTTATCATATTCCTGTGCATTTATTGCAAGGGGTTTTGAGGGCAAGCGCAGCTGCATACACTGGTCTGGACTGTGCTTCTTCAACGCTGGCCTCGGCTGCGTGTTCTGTGTCTGCTTTTGGGGTCATGGGTGCTGTCGGGTCTGTGCACGTGGATGTGCGGCACGTGCTGCCTGCGAGAGACCTGCCTTTCACACCGCTGTGGCCATGCCAGCTGTTTGTGGATGCATTTTGAGCAACCTTCTGTGCATGAATGAATGTAAGGACAAGTTGACCCAGGCTTATTGCTGGAGAAAAACCTCTGGAGTCAGTACCTGCGGGCAGGGAAGGGCTACGGCCGGATACACCTCCCTTTCTCCCATCCTCTGAGGCTGAGCACCTCCATCACTGGGAGAAGCTGGGAGGGGGTTTGCCTCTCTCATCACACTGCATTCACGCATTCATTTTTCTTTTCCGTTTCTGCATCCTGCTGGTTGCTGGCTGCGGTGGCACTAGGTGTATTTACCAGAGCCGATTGGGCAGACGTCTTTCTGCCGTGTAGCCCAGACAGAGCCCAGGGCTGCTCACCCATCCTAAGGAGAAGCAAAATTATTAAGCTTTTCTGAGCAATAAAAACCTTCC